AGAGAGAGAGAGAGAGAGAGAGAGAGAGAGAGAGAGAGAGAGAGAGAGAGGAAAAAAGAGGAAGCATTTATCAACGTGGTTATTAACAATCGCGTCGTATTACGTTGCGAAAGACACGATTATTACGTCGCTTCGAGTTTGCTCGAACCGAGTCCAAGATGGGAGGGAGGGGAGGGGGAGGGAGAAAGAAGAATTACCTTTGTTCGTGCCGTCCAATATAAACCAACGGCTGGAAAAATCCCAACCTGATTCGGCAGCCGTTTTCAACTCCGCGTAATAATTGTCCTTCTCTTCGTTGGTGCGAAAACTTTGACTGGTGAGGTAATCCTCTCTGAACGATAGAAATTGAGCGATTAGATCAACGGGGAACGTGGACGATCGCGGTCGGTTACTACTTACTTGTAGGATTCCGGCCGAGGACCGGACGACTCCTCGTTGTATCTGGCCAATAAGTAATTGACACCGTCCACCTCGATCTCGACGGTCCGATTGGTCATCCAAAAATCGAACTCCTTCTCGAGGAGGTAAAGATTGTTCTCGAGCCACTCGTAATCGTGAGTGGTCTTCAGATACTCGTCGACCATGGGAATCAGCATGGGCGGTTGGGATCTCATAGTGTAGTATATCCTGCCTCCGTTCGGGATGAAACCGATCTTGTCCACAAGGGAGACGAAATTGGTCAACATTCCTTTCACGGTGTTGTACATCTCCGAGAGAAGCAATCCTTTCACGATCCAATACGAGTCCCAGTAATAAAATTCGCGAAATCTGCCTCCGGGGACGATGACCGGATGCGGCACGTAAATGATCGAGTAGAGTTCCTCGTTCACGCGGACATCGTCCTTCATCTTTCGCCCCAACATTTTCCAAATACTGTTCAAATCGGAGGCGAAGTTTCGAAGATCGTCGTCGAGAATCCTGGCGAGAAACTTGGGCCTGAACGTCCAATCGATCGGATCCCAATCCTCGAACTCGGATCCCTCCGGGTCGAACGTGTCGTTGACGAATCGCTCGATCTGGTACCTGGTTGGCATCTGATCGTGCCGATCCATGAACTCTCGAAACAACTTCAACGTCTCGTAAGGCGGTTGTTTCATCTTCATGTCGACGAACGTTTTCGAGTCCTTGTAGATCGAGGCCATCTGTATCGTGTGTAGCAACTCGCCTCGGCAGTAAACGTCGCTGCAAGCCCAACACGCACACGTACACGCACACACTCTCGTCGTCGAATCGTGTGTATTCGAAACAATCCCGTTTCTTTCCTATCCGCTATCTAAAAAAACCTCGATAACCTATCGTCCCCTCCCAGCCCCTCCTCCTCCGTGGTCCCGTTCTCCTATCGCGCGGATCTCGCATCCCCTCGCCATCTTTTATCTCCTCCTTTGCCTAATTCCAACCAGCAATTATCGCGATAACGGAGAGACTCTGGATTTGTTTTATTATTTTTTTTTCTTATTTATTTATCCCAATCGTTCTATCTTTCGTTCGCGTTATCTCGATTCGTGAAACTCCTACAGCTTACCTGGCCACTCCCCCTTCTCCCCCTTCCTCCTTCCTCGTCAAATCCGACTTCGTTTCGTCGTCGAATTGATCTCGTGATAAAAATACGCGCGATAAATATGTAAAAAAAAAAAAAAAAAGTACGAAAAACAAACCCGTTTCAAAATTTATTATATTATTTCTTTCTTGGGAAACGTAAGCGTCTATCGTTTCAAACGAATCAACGCGAGGAAAGGAAGAATTAATTCTCGAACGAAATATCTAACGTATAATTCTCGATTGTTATCGGTTTTCGTTACCGATGTTGTTTACCGATGATAAATGGAGAGTCGCTCAAAATATCAGAACGTGCTCGCTCGTCCGTGGTTCGATCCGTGGACGCGGTAAGGTCACGTTCATTGTACTTGCGGAACACGATAATTTAAAAAGCTGGTGTTCCGTCCGTTACCGTTTCGTTTCACCGAAGTTCATTGCTAAGGCCATATCTTTTAATTCGACGATTTTGCGATTCGCCGAGGAAGCTGCGGAACGCAACGCTCCTCATTGGCATCGTTGTACTCGATGCAATGAATCATCAAGCATTGACGGTGTGGGGTCGCTCGCGCGCGCGCGTGCGTGCTCACAGATCGAAGCGACTGGCCAGCAGACACGAGATCGAACGTTTATTCGAATCGCTTGGGAAGATTCCACTTGCCCTCGTGCACTCGTGCTCGCCTCGAACAATGCCGATTAATTTGGTCGAGAGTCACGCGTCGCCGTGCGATGTCAGTTCGGTTAGGCCCGCCGGTCGTCGTCGATCAACGTGACGACCGATGTGAGACACGAGCGACGCGCGTCATCGTTATTACGCGCGTCTCGTATTACGCAACGAAACGTATAGGCGGGAAAACGATCCGAGAACGGGACACGGAAGGACGCGAGGCAAGGCAAGGCAAGGCGAGGTGAAGCAAGGCGAGGTAGGCGAGGTGAGGCGAGGCGAGGCGAAGCGAGGCGAGGCGAGGCGAGGCAAGACACGAGAGGCGAAAAGAGGAGAGAAAGGTGGAGAGAATTCGCGATTGGCGAGGAACGGCACGCGCCACGGGCTACCTCGGCGACATTGTACGCGCGTGTTTTTTTACTTATACTCCATGTTGTGTGCTTTACTTACCTCTGACACGGAGATGGTTTCGACTTCTCGGCATTGGCGAAACATCGAAGAACGATGAGAAGTGCGAAGAACGTAGTAGCAGCATTCACCAGGATATTTCTCGAACCACACCGGATGGAACAGCTCGAGGCCATTTTCTCTTCACCGATGATCTCCCACGATCTCCTCTTCTCTCTTTCTCTTTTCTCGATTCGATTCTCTTACTTTTTTTTCTCTTTTCCTTTCTTTTTCGTCCTTCTCCTTCTCTCTTTTTATTTCTCTCTTCTTTTCTTCTTCTTCTGTTTTCTTCTTCTCTTTTTTTTTAGTTTTAACTTTTAGCTTTACTAAATTTCGAAAAAACGGATGCGTGTGCGCGCGCGCACGCAGAGAATCCTTTCTTTATTTTCCGTTTTTTTTTAATCGAGTATATTTCGCGATAAAATATATATATATATACTGAATTATATATGGCGTTTATACATCCTGTCCACTTTTTTCGGATAAAAGCATTCCGTTTTCTTCTCCTTGTAACTTGCTGCGTCCGTTTTCTTTCCCCCTTTCTCTCACTTTTTTTCACCCCCCTTTCTCGCGCTTAAGCTCTTTTTTTTTTAGTCTTGCACTCGCTTCGTATCGATTCGTTCTATCTATCTTATGTGATATTATTGATAATCGTTTGCGATTGCGCTAGCAACGAGACGCAAGACGTTATTAGAGCTTTTCTTACTTTCTAGTGATTGCTCGTGGACGAGGAGAGGCCGATTGGCGTAGTCTACGAGGTGGTCTCAGCTGTGAGAACAGGGATGCATCTTCCCTGAAACAAAAGAAAATTCGAGGCACGGATTAATATACGTCCCAATAGTACCGCGAGTTCGATGATGAATCGTGGTCGGAAATCGAAAGGCGGCTGAATCGTGGTATCCACCGTTGAAAGCGGTGAAGAGATTGAACGGAATGTCGCGTGATCTATTCGACGAGGCTTTGAACGAACGAGAGTTTTTGACGAAACGTACGTTGTTTAAAAATAACGAATCCCGAACATCAGGACCCTCCTTATACACCACCCAGTTTCTGGCCGCCACGAATTCGTTGGTTTAACGCCAGAATTGTTCGTTATAGAAAGAGAGACTAATGACTATCGTGTACCGTGTATTCGGGCGGCGTAGAATCGACAGGCGATGTTGGGCGCGTTACGCGGGATCGCATTAGCTCGATTAGGAAAATTTCCACGAGCGGCGAAGAGGCGTGAGTGAAGTGAAAATCGTTTCGATGATTTATCTTACGATCGTTTCGCCCGTTCATTCGTTCGATCGAAGCCCGAACGGCCGAGCTCCAACGACTATGACAGCCAAAGTGTACACCTGCTATACTCGCGTCGCTTCGTTTATTAACCATTCAAACGCTTCTTTCTCTTGAACCTTAATAGGTCCAACAGAGATTGGATTTGATTCACGATCTAATCATCGAGAGAATAAGTCGAGTAAATCGATCCTCCGCGTGACGGGGATACGCGATATCGTAAGACTATACATTTTTGGCGCAACGCAATACCTTTGAACATAACGCGGACACGATTCTACGATCTTTGTTAACGATATCTCGCCACTTCCTTCCTTCCTTGCTTTCCTGTTTTTCTTTTTATTAAGAAATTGGAATTAAAAAAAAAAAAAAAGAAAAAAAAATATGCATATCGATGCATCTTCCTTTTCGACCTATTCGTACTTACGGCGACGATTCGGTGACGCAAATGCGAAAATCTTGGTTATCTTACGATTGTCACGGATCGTAATGGTTTGTTGTTTGAAGAGAGGTTGAAAATCGAGGAGAAAAAATTAATCGTCTTAGAGAATTTCGAGATAATAAAAGATCGCTGATATTCGTGCGGAGAAGGTATACGGTGTACGGTACGCGGTGAGAGATATACGGTACGCGACTAAATCGGTCGAGATGATACGCGGTCGCTTTATGAGCACGCGCGATCGGCTATGCGCGAGAAATGCGTCAAGAATGCGCGAAGAACGCAAGAGGCGAGCCCCCAGCATCGCGAGTCCCGATTGGTCCCGATTAGTCCCGATTAGTCCCGATTAGTCCCGAACGGCCCGCATTGTTACACGCGTCATAACGCACTGCTACAGACACTCGGCTTATACCCGTGTTACAGATTCGAACTTATTCTCATTCCCCACCTCCAACTTTCCGTTTTGCTTGTCAACTCCTCTAACCACGATAAGCCGCGAATTATCCCATTCTTCGCAACTCATTCCTATATGGTTCACACACGCTACATTCGATCGGTCAAGGACACGATAGTACGATTTTTATCCAATCTTATTCTTTACAACGAAAAAAACTCGACCTATCGCATCAATCTTATGCTTATATTTGCGATTCCATAAAAGTATAATATCGCGAAAAATATATTTCTCTTTAAGATCTGTCGAATAAATAAAAAAAAGAAAAAGAAAAAAAAAACAAGACGAGTTTCTATCTTCGTTTCGGTTGATATTTTAAGATCAAGTATCACGAGTGGATTTGATGGAGGTGACAAATTGCACATGTCTCGTTATCCATAGCAAAGAGAGTATCGTGATATGCATGATACCTTCACGACGAAAAACCATGCGTTGGGATTGGTCGAAGAAAGAACGAGGAAGGGAAGGCAAAGGGAGTGTAAAGCCAATTGCGCGTAAGAAGTCTTCGAGTTTAATAGCGATATGCCGCGACCAAATGAACGTTGCTGTAACGACAATCATTCTATTGGCTATTTTTAGATGGAAATAGGTCGGAGCGGAGGGCTCGCGGTATCGAGAGGGCACATGGTGACGATGACGACAATAATGACAACCAGAAAGGAGCAAAAATTTTGTAATGCATTTCTTCTGATTCTCGTTCGACCGAATTATCAAACAGAAAGATACCATGTATACATGCTATATAACAAAATGGAAGATTAAGATATATAGACAATGAGCAACATACAATTATCTATCATTACGACTGTGTACAAAATATAATGAAGAATTAATTCTTATTCGCGTAATAAAACTGTTATTATTATTATTAGATAATTCAATAATGCACGTTTTACTTAAAACATTGCAATATAACTGCTGTATATTTGTAATTTGCGAAATATGAAAACGCACGTTTCGAATAATCGGCAATATCTATCTCTTATTTTCTTTCACGATTCGAACTAAGTATTTATCAATGAACGTGACCCAATTGGTCAACGTCCACGTCAATCCATTGACCTTGACAATTTTACCGAATATTTAAAATAATCTATATCGATTACGGAACATACGCAAAAGATTATCGAATCTTAAAAGATTATTTTTCTCAATTTTAAAATCGTGCATTTATTTGTATGTCCTGAAATATTAAAAATAATTTTAGTAAATATGTAAAAATCAAAATTATTTTTTAAAATTAAAAAAAAAAATCGTTCGACTTTAATTCTAATTCAAATCTAATAATCGATTTCTATATTGATCATGTCTTATGATTATCGTCATATTTATACATGATGAAATAATTAAGAAAAAACATATATCATATAGCAATATACACGAAAACTATTATTTGTATGTATTTTTTTTATCTTTGTTATCTTATAATATAACTGCATATACATATTATTAAAATATTTCTATATGTATTCTTTATTCTCTAATGTTTCTTTATTCTATAACATATTTTTTATTCAAATATGAAAAATCATTGAAAATATTAGTGCTTCCATCTTTTAAGGATATAAAATAACAAAATACATAGATCATTACTGATATTGGTAGTAGGCAACGACGGTCTTGGTCGATAATACGAACATGAAACGACTGTTGGTAATATGAAGTTTTCGATGCACGACGAAACAAAATAGATTTACGCAATAAAGAAGTATACCTCGATCATGGATCGATGAATCAAATTCATTCATTAGCATTTAATACTTCAGAATAACATTTTTTACGCATAAGAAAACCGAATATTTCGAATCGGTTTCTAAGATTACTTATTTTAAATTTGACCGCGTTTGCGATGAGCGATGTGGCGTGTGCATCAGCACGTATGCCGAAATATGTTAAGAAATAAAATTGAATTGTATTTAATTGTACCGAATCGCATTTTATGCCATTAAAAGAATAAAAAAAAAGGATTAGGCATAAATTTATGAATTCCTTATAAATAAAAGGAGACAAAATATTACTTTAATCTATCTTTGCTTTTTATTCATCGTAAACATGATTGACATAAGAATCTTTCGACGATTGAAAATCTGTATGATCGACGCATAGATAAATTATTGCTTAAATTTCTCGGATGAATCTATTTCAAAATAGCTATTATGGAAAATTTTTGTCGCTATTACGACTCGTCGATAACGTCTAATCACAATAATTCTGATATACCAAGACCAATTCACAGGGAAGGAACAAAATAATAAAACGCAATTGCGCGAGCCCCTGATTATTTCATTGCATGCTGACGTCAAATTATTCGTCGACCAATCATCAAGCTTGCGTATCGATGAGCCCCTCGCTCGAAAAATCGACGAACACGCGTACCATTTCCTCCACAATTTTAATGGTCACGTTTTTCAATGACGCGTTAGCAAATTTAATAATAAAGTTTATGATGTCAAATATTTCCTTAATATTGTTCGTCATCGATTGTTTTTGATTTGATCAAAAAAATTGAAGAATCAAATTTATGAATCTATAATAAGAAAATGTTGCCGAAATGATTATTCTTTTACAATTTTTTGAAAATGTACAACATTATTGAATGCATTTATAATTGAAACGAATATAATATTCATTTTTCCGATTCAATCATTGTTATTGTTATTGTTTATTCTATATTTAAATATTATAATCATAAAAAAAGAGGAAATAATACGAAATTTAGATCATTAATTAAACGAAATGAAAATACACCTACAAAGAATTTCATTTTCTTGGTTGAGGTTCTCTTATGATTAAAACCGAATAGTGACGTTGTATCGTTGTAACATATTTTTCTAGTGCTTTTTGCATTGCTATGCATTTATAAATTAATTTATATTGTTACAAATACAAATTTACTCATCAAAATCTTAACGTTTATTTTTGATTTTACTTTATAATTTTTTCATTTTAATTTGTACTTATATGTAAAAGAATTTGGTAGTCATAACGAAACGCATGATAAGTCCTATATGTATCTAATATTAATGAAGAATAAAAAAATGATGCCGAACAATGATGCTTTTCATCATGATTGACAATTGTGAATTGGTTCCTGAAAGAGATAAGACATAGCATTGGAAGAAAAGAATTAGGCTATCAAATTGATTTGATAGCAATTGTGATTTCGAATCGTATTGACGTCAATGAAATTTTTTTTCTATTTTTTACATTTAAAAATAAGAAGAATCCTCGATATTATTCTAAAAAGAAAATATAATAATGTCTATCTATGGAACTCTATGCATCTTGATATAATATTTATACAGATATATATAGCAATATGTTACAATTTATAATTTTAAATGAACATTCATTGCGTTGCAAAGTTAAAAGAATTAAAAATATTATTTTTTTTTTTATTAAATTAACGCCAACAAAGCATTTTAATAGTTTTTCTTAATTATATGAATCAAAAATTTTGTTATACAAATTAATAATTATATGCACTGAAGTTGCCTCGAATGAAATTGCAACGTCAGTAAGCACACATCTCATTCTCATTCGAGATTGTACAAAGTCTCCTAGCGTGTCTCATTACGTCACAAGAATTAAAATAACTTGCTTGAAACTAAATGATCAAAGTTTCATCACAACCATAACATCATACAAAATGATATCGCCATTGAAATGCGTGGAAACCGGTAAATCTAATATATATATATATATATACTTGATAGTATGACCTTTTGAACTTGGCATCGATACTTGAACAGCACGATGTATGTAGGAAAATCATAGTGAATGTGTGTATGTGAATTAAATGGTGTAATGTTATAATAAGAAAAATTCTCAAATAGATAGATTCAATGAAGAATATAATTCATTATTCCTATAATGAAAACAAATCATAAATCATTGAATAAAAATAGAAAACTGCAATTGAAGAGTACTAAGAAAAAGGAAAAGGAATGAGATCCGCTGGGGATCGAGCCTCTTGGCCGATGATCAGTTGAACCAATAGTAAGACGTCTCGGAACCAACGCCTACCAATTCAACCAATCGCAGATTAACTTTTCCGAAGGCGCGTCATATGTATCCGCTTTTTCTGATCATTGAGAACCAAACATCATTGACTCTTGATGGAATGACGCATGATTGAATAAATTTTATAATCTTTCTTTTCAATATCTATTTAGATTTCTTTTAAATTTATATTGAGATAAAAAAATTTTGATTTATATTGTTCGATTAATTTATTTCATTATTGCGATTAATGCATTTTTGCTTTAATTAGTTTTAATTAATTTTGCTTCTATTATAATTAAATATATGATAAAAGTATATTCATGGGGGAGTCGCTACAGAATAAATTCATAATATTATAACACAAAATCTAATAATACCATTAGACGACCCTCTAACTTACTTTGAAATCAATTTTGGCAACTGCTCAATTGTGACATTGCCATACTAACATTATAACCTAACATTACTTAAGACAATGCAAAATTTCATTTAAATCGATTTAAACTATATAAATCGATTGGTTGATAAATGGATTTCGTTACGGAACGATCATTAATTTTGCTGGAAAAAATTTAATCTTTAATAGTATTTCAATATATCTCTATATTCATCAACATCATTTTTTTTCTTCTTTTATTATCTATTTTATGAATTGCACACTACCAAAACGAAAAACATTTCAATGTGACCTGGAGGAAGGAGGGAGTAGTAAACGCGCGCAAAATGCGAAATACCAAATTCAAGGCTATCTTTCATTTTTATTTTCTATGAAAAAGACATATGCGTATTAATATTAAATTAGTGATGATTATATAAAATATTTTTGTTCGCCTAAAGTCACTTATATAAATTTAAAAACAAATTTCATATCAAACTTTTAAAGTTTTTAAATTTTATCTTGTCTCGCGTATAAAATATATGTATTAAAGATTCGAAGAAAAAAAAAAGAAAAAAAAAATTATATAAGATTATTTAAAAAAGAAAAAAACTTTCATCCAATAAGAATCAAATATATAGCAATAAATGTCAGAACACGTGTTTTCAAATGAATCAAGAAAACGCTATATGTAAAAGATTGAAGAAATACATTTTTTTTACAGGAAATAAACGTACCTTCAAGTATTTTATTATTGAATTAGATGAAAAAGAAAGGAAAAATTATCACATAATAAATCCACTTGCATCCTTGAGTAATCACTTTTAGTATCAGAATAACGAATCACACAATTTTAGAAACGAAAGCACACACGATACGAATGCGAATCAAAGAAATAATAAGAATAAATATATATAGATATAGTTTAATGACAAAAATTAATTAGTTTATTGCAGAGAAACGAAAACGTACTCTCCATTCCGCGTTGCGTATGTGACTGACCGAGAGTATCCAAGTCATTCCAAGCGAACCTCCATCGTTCAGACACTCTTGCTCACTCGTTCATTTTCTTTCTCACTCATTTCATTCCATCCTTTTCTTTTATTCAACGCTTGTATTTTCGCTCTCTATTTTTCATATCTCTCTCTTTTTTTAATAGAGATAAGTATCATTCATATGTCAATAGTGTTTCAAATAAAAGCAACTACATAAATTTTCATATAAATCATAGTAATAAAAACCTTATTTATATATATTTATATATATATATATATATTGCAGAAAATGTAAAATGTTAAATAGATATGTTAGAAGGAAATAATTGAAACATTTCCTGGAAGAACTTTCTTTTTTTTTAATCTTTTCACTTACGTTTAAACTCGATCTAGTCTCATGAACAACCCGGTATGAACTGGTTTGCAACAGCGTATATGTGCATTGTGATGACTACCTAAGCATCGAATTTGCGCGAAGATCAGCGAAAACAACCGAAGACAAACACGTGTTCATGATGCGAATCATTCACTAATTTTATCTCGACCATAAATGAACAAAACTTTCATTGTTATTATAAGTTTATTCAATTAGTAAATATGTTATAGAAAACCATTTTGCCAATATACATTATTCAGATAAAATATTTCATTTTATTTATCGATATTTTTCCATTTATGCATATGATTCTAATATAATCTATATAAGTTTTTTGCTTACGATATTTCATCACTTTTTATTTGATAGATTAAACAAATTTGCCAAATAAAAAGGCGATACATATGTAAGAATGATTAAAGTATTTTCGATAATGTTCATTTTTTTTATATTTTTTTCTGAGATAAAAGAAAATTTTTTAAAAACATATCCTAAATACGAATTGATAATTTTTACAAAAATTTAACATACGAAAACTACCGAATCGATACGGAAGGAATCGAATGTATCACGTGTTATTT